AAAAAAGTTTGGCCGACTACTAGATTCGCAAGACCAGTTCAGAAATGGAAGGAATCAAATCAAATCTACCGGATGGGAACCGACTTGTCTACTACCTTGTCACCAATGAAGAATCGTCTGAGAAATCCACCTACGCTTGTTATAGGATTCTTTCTTAAAATTAAGGGACCAGGTGCTGATTACTAATACCATGCCATGCCAAGAAGGTTATGTGGTTTGGATAGACTAAACTGGCGAGTGGTATGAAGCATATTAGAAGTTCTGTTCCGGTACACTCTGCTTGATATTTTGTTATGCATCGGCAATCCACGACGAGAGCTCACTCAATTGAAAACCGTAGTGAATAAAGATCAGTTTTACCAAAATCGAAGGAATTTATAAAAAATACAGAAAATGGAGGAACAATGATTTCGGAAATGAAAACAGATATAAAAGTAAGACAAGAAGAATTAAAAGAAATGAAACAAATAATAGAAGAAAAATTAGAAGAAATGAAAAAGGAAAAGGAAGAAATAAAAAAGAATTAAAAGCAGTGTACTATCACACAAATGAGACAAAAAGAATTGAAAACAATTCAGGAAGGAATGAAACAGAAAATTGACGAAGCACGATAAGAAATGAAAAGAAAAAGGAAATGAAAAAGGGAGAATAACTTAGAAGAAAAAGACATGTATATAAAAAATGTAAAACCAGATTGAAAAAAGTTCAAGATTCCGATACAAGGCCAGCATAAATTACACCTCCCACTTTTGATGGGAAGATCTAGTGGTCCGTTTACCAGAAGCAGTTTGGAATAGCGGCAAAGGCATATACATGGTCCAATTTAGAAGAAGCAATCACATTAATAATTTTTTTATGAGTCTCAACAATATGACTTCTACTATCTTGTCAAGCGTATAGAACGTCTGGAAATGAGTTACCACGATAAACATCTACAACGAGTACATCACATGCAATTAAAAAGTTGTAACCAACAAAATAAAGAAACTCATTAGCAATTTGAGTCCGATGTGGAACTCCTTGTAAGATTAGCCTAGCTTTCTGTCCCCTCAATTCATCGACCAACTAATACAGACATTTACCAATGGAGTCAAACACGGCGGTCTGTTATAATCCAATCACCGTTCAGCCTGAGGGATCTTAGAAAGATAATGAATTAATCGGAGACCGAAGGGTGGACGTTCATAATGACCCAATTTGAAATGAAAAGAATCCGGAATCCCAAAATCATCCTGAACAAATACGAACCAGTTAAACTGGACAACAAAAATTAATAACTTTTATATAGCATAGTCGCCTAGTGGAACTGTCTTGTCCTACAACACAATATTTTAAAAAGAATGTGAGAATAAAGATGGATCTAGAAACATGCTTCAAGTGGTATTGCTGAAGAGAAGTGACAGAAATCATAGAAACAATTCATGGCGAAATACATTTCGGTGTTACGAAGACTTTAGAAAAGGTACGCGAGCAATTTTTTTTGGTTATACGAGGGTGGATTGATAAGTTTCCGGCCTGACCAAGAAAAACAAGGTTTTTAAAAATTTTTTTTTTTTATTTCTCAACATAATCTCCCCCAAGGCTGATACATTTCTCATAGCGGTGTTCCAGTCTATTAATGCCATCTCTATAGACTGATTCGTCAAGCTCCTCAAAATAACCATTTACAGCTTCGATTACTTCTTCATTGTCCGCAAATCTCTTACCGCCAAGCCATTTTTTGAGATTAGGGAACAGAAAATAGTCACTCGGGGCTAGGTCTGGAGAGTAAGGAGGGTGCGGCATCAATTCAAACTTTAGATCGTTGATTTTAGCCGTCGCAACGATTGACGTGTGCGCTGGTGCGTTATCGTGATGAAACAAGATTTTTTTCTTCGCCAGATGAGGTCGTTTAATTTTCACCTCGTGGCTCAAACGTTGCAATAAGTCTGCGTAGTATTGACCAGTGATAGTATTACCCTTTGCAAGGTAATCAATGTATATAATACCTCTTGCATCCCAAAAAACAGTAGCCATAACCTTGTTCGCCGAAAAAATTGTTTTTGCCTTCTTTGGAGTTGGTTCCCCTGGTCCAATCCACTGTTTAGACTGTTCTTTGGTTTCAGGAGTGTAGTGGTGGACCCACGTTTCGTCAACGGTTACGAATCGACGCAAAAATTCGCTTGGATTACGCTTATACAATGACAAATTTGCGGTAGAAATGTTTTTTCGAATCAATTTTTGGTCGACTGTTAGCAAACGCGGCACCCATCTTGCACAGAGCTTTTCCATATGCAAATGTTGGTGCAAAATATGTTGCACACGTTCATATGACATCTTACAGGTCTCAGCTATCTCACGCACTTTCAATCTGCGGTCTCCCAGCACTATTTGATGAATTTTTTCGATCATATCTGGAGTTGTGACCTCAACGGGGCGTCCTGAGCGAGGCCCATCAGAGGTGCTCACACGACCCTTTTTAAACTCGGAAACCCACTGCTTAACGGTTGAATATGACGGGGAGGATGTCCCCAGTGTTGAGTCCATCTCTTTTTTAATTTCCTTCGGCGTTAACCCCTTCAAATAAAAGTATTTGATGACAGCACGATTTTCCTGCTTTTCCATTTTTACGAAAACCACAGAGGCGTCTTGTTCAGCGTGCTGTCAAACCTACACTAGCAAGGAGATCGGGCTGAAACTATAGCTACAAGCTATCCAAGGATGGTACTATAGAATGTCACCTCAAGGTAGGCCTAGTGGCGTCATCTCTTGGTTAGGCCGGAAACTTATCAATCCACCCTCGTAAATTAGAAGCGACGTGCAAGAAATGCCTGACATACGCCTCTACTGAGGGACCGAAAATGCAGATTTAATTAGGAAGCAAACAGCTGGAAGAGGAATGACTTTAGACGAAAGTCGTAGGCGAATGCAGCAGTACAACGTGGAAGTGCCATTTAAAAGAATCGAAGTCGTCGTAGCAGGACCATTCTCAATGACAAAATATCATAACCGATACATCTTGATCGTCATGGGTTAGTTTAGCAAGTGGTCCTATTTTTACATAATGAGTAATTCATCTACAGAAAAATATTTTTTATTATGTAACATAACCTGAAATAACCATTTATGTACCTATTATATCTTCACCGTTAAGTAATGAACTTAAAAATTATTATTTATTGCCACTCCTATTTTAAAAATATTACGGACGCTTATTGAATACCTAAATGTTATTTTTAATTATCTCAATCGTTGCTCAATGTTTGTACATTTTACGAAAAAATAGTGCACGTTTAGTTTCTAGTGATTTTACATTTGCAACATCTACGTCTATAAGAAAATTTTCATGAAAATGGGCTTAAAATTAGGAAAGTTAGTTACTAGGCTGAAACTCCACTGCCAGCAACACCACCCAAATGATGATGGCATTTAAATGAGTTGCCGGTTAAGACAATGGCGTTACAAAAGGAGGTCATCATCTAGCAAAAACAATAAAAATTGTAGGTAGACACGATATCATTCGCTACTCTCATGTAGCATTTCCTAACCATAACTTACGTACTTACGATACTACAGAAGCCTTTATGTGGTCTTGTAATAAGAAATACAACACAAAAAAGGTATTGAGCCAGTCGATAACAAAATTCGTGTCAGCCGCATGTCAAGCGAACCTTGTAACCAATGAACAATTACTGCAGTTGTATCAAAATATTAAGCTTATCATGATCGAAATGCACCGCGCCATTAGTTCATTAATTTGGAAGCATATCCTTATTGTCTCTAATCTTAAGAAAAACAATAAACATTGATTTTACTGTGAATAGAAAAGGATGTTTTAAAATAAGTTGTTGCAATATGATATTTTTAAGGAACATATAACATATAACGTATAGTTATACCTAATCCTTATTAATATAGATTAATTATAAGTTTAATTATTTTTATCACATATGCTATATATTGCGCCACACACCAGTTTCTTTTTTTGTGTGTAGTTGGTATATGATACATAGTTGTTAGTGATGATAGACAATTACTATTGATGAATTGGTGTTTGTGATTTATATTACGAAACTAATATATTTATATTTATTTACAAGATGTTGATTCTGATTTTTTAATTGGCATAGGACTGATTAAGTAGATGTATGTTATGATATGTTTTTGTTAATAGAAAATGAATTGAATAGAAGATTTATGTGAGAACTGTCTCGATAAGTTCGAAAGAGGATTTTGGTGGTTAAGATAAAGATGAAGCGTGAAAAAAGGAGTTTAAAGAAAGATAGGGGATAGGTTCCAATTGAAATGGTATGTGGATGCATGCGATGGTAAACAAATGGATTTAGGGTGAATTAGAAAACACGAAATACGTTTAAAGCTGCGAAATATGAAATTAGAGAGAGAGAGATGTGCTAGTTGAAAACATGACTATAAATTATGAATTTAGAATATGTGCACTACAACTAAGGTAAAAATATTTTTTTTTATATACAAGCATCACGATATAAATAATATATATTGTAGAGAGCATGAGTGTGTTTGTGTCCGATCGGGCACACGTGTGCGTGAACGAACGAACTACTAGCCGCGGGCGCCTTTCTTCATATGCGGCCGTATTTGTATAAGTGTGTGGCGTACCTGCGTTCTGGGAAAGCAGTTAAACAGTTCAAAGAAAAAATAAACTATCCGGTTGTTTCTAGAGGGTTCCAGAAAGTAAACAAAAGAGTATTTAAAGGAAAAGACGATCGCCGAGAAAAGAAGAAATAAATTGACCTTTGCAGAAATGAATCCAGAAATAAATTGACAGTGATAGCAGTGAAATAAATAGCGCAGTGAATAGTGATATATCAACAGTAGTGTAAATAAATAGAATTATTCATAACCTATGTTTAGTAATAATTTAATAGTGTTTTTAAGTTCTTTAATAATTAGTGTAAATAAATAGTTTTTGTCGTTATCAGTACTAGAAGTAAATTTTATTAAACCTACGAATATTACAATATTTTTTGTTAGGTACTTACCAAAATGTGGCTACTGAAAACGGGTTGGCATCTTTTCGTGGATGTCTGCTTTTTTCGCTTCCTTTTTTGTTACCCATGTCTTAATCATTAATGTCCATTTCTTATGACATTTTACGGGTCAATGAAACTAAAAAAATAAATGTATTGTACTTAGCATTTAAACAAAGTATGTATACATATAAACCAAAGGATTTATGCAATATTGAGGTCATTTCTGGAACCTATGAAGAAATCCGTTTTACTAAAAACCTACCTACACATGCCTATTAAGTTCTTATTAGCCAAAAAGAAAGCATTTAAACTATAGAAAGCTACGCTCATCTTTACGATTAATATCTTTTTTAGCATTTTGTTATCATACATAAAAATGTATTGGGTTATCAAAGCAACGACCTTCCTGTTTAAGTAAAAAGTACAATCATGTTACGATAAAATTTGACATGAATTGTATTTGCCCTTACTGATTTTCAGTTCAATGTATTTATGTACGTTGTACTTTTAACAAATTAACAAATACTCAAACCATTTTCATTATCTAAAAACTTAATAGAAATCCACAACGTTCAACGTTCCCAAAAATAATACACATGCTTTCCTACCCGGTAGTTTTGATATTTTTTGTTAAACACTCCTTTTCAAAAACATTTTTAATGTTAATCAAAGTTTTATACGATAATGGTGTAAATAAAAAACACGTACATCTTGATATCAATTATCATATAACTCTAAATAGGTAATGTAATAGTTCTTGTATACGTAAAAATGCCGTGGTTATTGTTGCACTTATTTTATCGTTGATATATTAAAATCACAACATACTGCTTAGGTACTGCGTGTGTGCATTCCTTTTCACAGGAATGTAAGTGCACACGCACGTACTAACATTAATTAAATAAATTTAAATATAACCCGAGTAATAATTATTCTTTTCAATTTTACTCTACCGAATTACGACCAAACTATCTCCATAAATTTCTCTAAAATATTACCGGAAAAGGTCCGTTTACAGGACTAAACCACCGACCGAATGTGTGCGAATGGAGTACTGAAGAAACAGTACCGCATTCAGTACGAAACGAACACGGATACAGCACCGATTGCTTTCTAGAAAGCTACTGAAGTACCACCGAAAGAGCGACGCATTCATACTAAAAAAGCGCCGAAACAGCACTAAAGGGATACTAAAATTTGAATGTATATAGATATATATTCATACTGTAATTAATAAACTCTAATCAATATTACACTGATTTTTGATTTTGATTTGGTGCTGTTTTAGATGATTTTGTATGTGATGCTGTTTTGGTACTCTTAGAGTGTTTTTTGGCGAGGCGCTGTTTAAGGGCTCTTTTGGATCTTNTAAACAAATACAAATTAATAATGTTGTTATAACTGTTATTACTTTTCCCATTATTATGATTATTATTATTAAAGTGGTTATTATTACGTACTATTTTCATAATGTTGTGGTAATATTGATAGTGATTTGGATGAGGTTTAGCGGAACATTGTAGGGTGATAGATATTGTGGAAAAATGTGTTAACATTAATTAATAAAAATTTAAATATCTGATGGATAACTTGGTATTACTTAATCAATATTTTCATTTTTATATACGGTACGTTTTGTTGCTGTTTTAAATGAATTTGTATGTGATGTTGTTTTGTTGCTATTATACTATGTTTTTTGGCGAGGCGCTGTTTGAGGGCTCTTTCGGATCTTTTTTGATGTGGTGCTAGTTTGGAGTTGTTTTAGGGTTTCAAAGGGTAGTATTTTGGCTGTAATTTCAGAATTTAAATTTTCGTCTAATTTGTGGGAACTATTTCGGTGGTAATTTAGGTCTTTTCAGAGGCGATTCGGTGGTGTTATAATTCTTTTTATTTTAACTTGGGAACTTACAATAATATTAACTCATTTATTTTTAAACCTACAATCTTCAAGTTTCATTAAGTATTACATAACAATATTTTTTCATTAAAGTTGTTATCATACATAAAAATGTATTGGGTTATCAAAGCAACGACCTTCCTGTTTAAGTAAAAAGTACAATCATGTTACGATAAAATTTGACATGAATTGTATNTTATATATATTATATAATTGGGAAACCTCTATCCTTCCATGAAGTATAAAAATTACAGTTCTGTTCTGCGTCCATACAAAAAAAGCGCGGAACTTGTGGTTGTGCTACAATAGAGCTGCCAACTTTCTTATTTAGATTTTTAAGACAAAGAGGATAAAAATGCAGGAAATTAGAGAGAAATTCTGGACGAAATGGAAACGTGATACCTTTTGTGCATATATGGTGACTCATGGTGACCACCCATTAGAATATATCGGAAATCAATTTGATTTGAATTAGATTAACAATTTGGATAATGGACCATTTGCATTGAGAATTGAGAGCGACTATAAAGATAGAAGACGGAAGAAGTCGGGATGGAAGGAGTAGGAGGGATATAAAGCAGAGAATAGTGCAGGGTCGAGTCGCCTTCAATAAAAAGAAGTCACTTCTATGCTAGCGAACGATTAATTTAGACATTCGAAAAAGATTGTTAAAGGTGGATGTTTGGAGCGCGGCGCTGTACGGATGCGAAACATGGACAGTCGGCGCGGCGGAAAATAAAATGTTAGAAGCGTTCGAAATGTGGTGTTACAGGCGAATGATGAGGATACCGTGGACAGAGAAGGTCAGAAATGAAGAGTTATTAGAAAGAATAGGAGAACAGAGGACTCTATGGAAGTCAATAAGAAATAGGTGAGATAGGACACCTTCTCAGGCATGAAGGTCTAGTCAGAGACATATTAGAGGCAGAAACAAGAGTTAAAAGGAGTAGAGGTAGACCTAGATTAGATTACTGTTCGCAAATAGTTAAGGATGTGGGATGTCCTAGTTTTAGGAAAATGCGAAGATTAGCTCAGGATAGGTAGGAGTGGAGGTGCGTGTCCAACCAGTCTTAGGACTGACGACCTTATGATCATGAAGGCTATGAAAATACATACAGGATGTTCCATTTGAAAAAATGATTTACGATGGTTTAAAGCTAACCAAATCCGCCATTAAATATCTAACGTCCTGTATGTAATTAAGCCATTTTGAAAGTATGGACGGGAAGCTAGTTTTGATGTTGTAACGATTTTATTTGCTATCACAATGAACACAATATAATTTGATAACTAGAGGAGATGTGTATAGAGAACCATAGTTTAAGTCTATAGCTCTGCCTCTCCTGAGATATTGTTGCTTCAGTTTTCTTACTGTAAAGTAGGCATGCTTTTTTGCTATCTATAATTTAAAAGTAGGAAAACCTTAGGAAAGTCTATTTAAAATCAAAAGTAAAATTCAAAACCGTAATATAGAGGGTGTTTCATCTAAAATAACGAAATGGAAGTGCTACTTTCGTGCCGTTATTTCAATTGAGGAGAGCATACGCAGTACCGGAATTGTCCAAATTTTCAAAATTCAAATCGAATTAATATTCTAATGGTTGTCACCATGGGACACCTTGTACCAATTGAATACTGCACGGTTAGCTACAACCTACAATCATTAGATCTGTTGATAAATTATACTAAACAGTAGTTATTAAGTTAACTATAATTGCTTATGTTTACTTAGTGTTGAAATTTAGGACATTTGGCATCCTGCAGGGAGTCTTAACAGAACACAGGGTGACAAACCTTAAATGGAAAACGCCCCCCAAAATTCAAGACGGTTAGCAACCTTATAGATGCTGCATAACTACTTTGCATCCGCATTTACAAAAGATTAATATTCATTAATAAACGTGTTTTAATTAATTTTAATAGAAAAATAGCATGCTGCAGCTTATCATTCAATCATCAAAAAGTTTTCAAGTCGATCAGACTCCTCCATTTCTTCCTATCTTGAGCCATTCTCCACAGTTCTCGAAAACTTGAGAAATCTATATCTTTAACTATTTATGAATAATAATCCAGCCTATATCTACCTCTGCCTTGCTTGTTTCCGTTTCTCCTGTAACAACTGTTTCTGCCTTTAATATTCCTCTAGCTTCATGTTTGAGAACATATCAAGCATATTTCTTATGGACTTTTACAACGAACTACGTTCTCCTACTCTTTATAATACTTCCTCATTTTTAACCTTTTCTAACCACGGTACTTTTAAGATTTTCCTAAAACACCATATCTGAAACGCTTCTAACTTTTCTTTTTACAGAGTCATTCTCCAAACATAGGTATACTTCATTTACTTTCTCTAGCGATGTGCCCCTTCCAATGTCTTGGATGCGCGCTGGCAAAATCTTAGGTAAGGAGAAAATGCTCATTATACTCTCGACTCTTGTTCATTAAACATACTTTTTCATATAGTACCTGCCAAAAGTTTTGTTCAATCATGAATAGTAGTGCGAGTTGAAAACAAGCGTCAAAGCCTTTAATATGTCTTCAAATATAAATAAACATCTTGTTGATATTTTCAGTAGTAAATGGTAATAATAACAGCACATTTGAGCAATGCAATTGTAGTGGATAAAATGGTCAATTTTTCCGTGCAGTACTGTACGGATTATACGCTTTTTACCGGTTAAGAGTTTGGCCGAGAGTTGTCTCCTTCCTTTTCTGGCCTAGTGCTGTTCTTTTCTATATTGCGCCGGTTAAACTGAGGGTCACATCGCTACAGAAATTAAACGAAATATACACCTGTAATGATCAATTTTATAGTTTTTAAATTATCCCATCTCGAACACAAAAGTACATTATTTCCTCCCCAAATTTACAGGATGCATCAATATTTCAATAGTACAACGNATAGCTACAAGCTATCCAAGGATGGTACTATAGAATGTCACCTCAAGGTAGGCCTAGTGGCGTCATCTCTTGGTTAGGCCGGAAACTTATCAATCCACCCTCGTAAATTAGAAGCGACGTGCAAGAAATGCCTGACATACGCCTCTACTGAGGGACCGAAAATGCAGATTTAATTAGGAAGCAAACAGCTGGAAGAGGAATGACTTTAGACGAAAGTCGTAGGCGAATGCAGCAGTACAACGTGGAAGTGCCATTTAAAAGAATCGAAGTCGTCGTAGCAGGACCATTCTCAATGACAAAATATCATAACCGATACATCTTGATCGTCATGGGTT